CCAAATAAAATTATATATATATGTATATATATATGTGTGTGTGTGTGTATATATATATATATATATATATATAATGGAATGTATACATATATACACACATATATACATACATACATATATACATGTATGTATATATGTATATGTATAATGGAATTATATATATATATTATATATATGATGGAATTTTGTTCGCTCTTTAAAAGGAAGGCAATTCTGACATCTGCTACAACATGGATCAACCTTGAGGACACTGAAATAAGGTGCCTATGAAATAAACACTGTGCGACCCCATTTGTACGAGGGTCCTGAGCACTTGTCAGTTCTCAGACTCTGTGAGTGGAGAGGCGGTAGCCAGGGCTCTGGAGATGAAAGGATGTGGAATTTGTGTTTAGAGCGTGAGCACTTCCGTCTGGGAAGTTGACAATCTTTATGTGGGTGGTGGTGAGGCTGCACACAGTACCAGTGAGTTAGAGGACGCCCACCTGTACTTTGACAGTGGTTAAATTACAAAGGTAGGGGCCATGGAGATGGTTCAGTGGGAAAATCACCCAAGACTGAAGATGAGCTGTGTTCAGAACCTCAGATCCATGTAAAGGCCAGATGCAATCGCGTAAGTATCTGTAATCCATGTACCTATCAGGAAACAGGGGTGGAGAAGAGGCTCTCCAGAACCCAGGGGCAGCTAGTCTGACATTGGATCAGAAAAACAACATTCTGTCCCAAACAATGTGGAAGATAAAGACAGAGGACCAGGGCTATCCTCTGACCATCTCAGGTACACTGTGACACATCCGCACTGGCATTTGCTTACACACATAAATATATACACACACACAATTACAAATCTTAAAAGGGTTTTTATTATCACTAAGCACACTTATTCATGTGCACTCAGAGAGGAAGTACAGAGAAAGTACCTTGGCAGCCCCGAGACTAGATTTGACTCTTAAAGATAAAATAAATCAGTTGGTATAGTAATGCAGACACAGGGCTGCAAGTGTTTGGGGAGATGCAGGAGAGTGTCTTTGGCATTTTTGGATCAGGGAGTGAGTCCTCAGTGCCAAGAACAAGACACATAGAAGGGAAGTGTGAACTAAGCCTCAAAACCAAAACAAAAACCAAAACAAAACAAAAGCCTGCGTAAGAACGAGTGGGTGTCTCCTGGCCAGCAGAAAACAATTGTAAGCACCCTCCAGACTCCACAGAAGACTGAGAAATCATCACCCCTTCCTCAGACAAGGTTGGGTTTGTTTCTGGTGGAGTCTCTGGTTCTTGTGAAGATGTAGCTAGTGTCCTTCTATTCAGTTGCTCTCTGCTTTAGCTAGATGGGTTATGACATTTTCAACTGATAGCTCAGGCCCTGCTGAATGACAACATCTGCCCAGTGACACGTGTCCATCTCTGAAAGCAGGTATGTGTGGTGCAGACTTTATAGAGTAAGTGGCTTGGAGACCTGGAATCTAGTTCTCATGTTCACCCGTGTTTGCTCATTCGAGGAGCTTCTGTTCTCTGAGCTGTTTTCTCATGTCCTCCGCACCACAGCAGGCTGCAGGTTGAGCAGCTACAGAGAGCTGCAGAGAGCGTCAGAGAACTTAGATCTTACCCAGAAGCCCCAGGAGAGCATGGAGACACGATGGCCACAGAACTTCAAAAGCCCCATCTCTAACTAGGCAAGGGTGTGGAGAAATTCAAGGTGGGTTCACGCTCAGCTGCTTCTGCAGACATGTAGAAAGATGGGGCCTGTGCTCCCCACAGGTCTAAAGACCACTGTGTGCAGATCTAGCAGGTCTCTCCCGCCTCCAAACAAATCCTTGGGGATGCTTCTGCTGCCTTTTTATCACAGACCCCACCCACTTTATATTTTACACTCCTCACCTTGAAAGAAGGTGTATTCAAGGCGGGGATGCAGCTCGGTTGGTAGAGGACCTGCCTAGCATACACAAGATCTTGGGTTGGAGTCTCAGTGCTATGCACAGGCCAGGGTGGTGGCACATGTCTATAATCCCGGCCTTGGGGACACCAGAAGATGAGAAGTTCAAGATCATATTCAGTTATGCAGGGTGTGTGTGTGTTCCCATGCACGCGTCATACATGAATTCATATGGGAATCCCAGAAGCTTCATGGGAAGATGGGAAATGGTGATCTAAGAATCTTGAGAGGTTAGCCTGGCCTATGAAATAGAAAACCAAGAAATCCCACCCCAAGCCTCCAAAATGTGACACTTGACACTGGAGGCCTCTGACCTTTACATGTTCATGTCGGTACTCATTCATGAATACACATGTACACACATAGTTCATGTCAGTACTCATTCATGAATACACATGTACACACACATGAATACACACACACACACACACACACACACACACACACGGTAAATTTTAAAAGTTGTATTTATTTTGAGACAAGGTCTACATTGTAGACTGGCCTCAAACTCCTGGGCTCAATCAATCCTCTTGCCTCAGCTCCCAGCTACCTGGGATTTCAGGCATCCTAGTACCCTCAGCCCAGTAGATGGCCTGGCAACTGGCCTCAGGAGACTCAGAGCCAGGGTGCAGGAGAGGGTATTGCTGTTCACTATATTTCTAGAACTCTCGAGAGTTTCCTTTCCACATCACCTTGAAGTAGGGCTTGGCCACAGAACCTTAGCTGATGGCATAGAAACATGTCACCTCTGAATGGCGGTATGCAATTCCAACCCTGGCTCTGGAGACCCAAGTCAATATGGTTGTGCCAAAGATTAAAGTAATCTGTCAATCTGGGCCACCAAAGCCTCTCCCACAAACCTCACAGGGTCACAGGCAGTGGGATCCAGCTTCACCTGAGGTACTTTACCAAGCACAGCTAAAAAGCCGTGCCGTGGCAAAGGAGGGTTGTGCGGTATCACTAAACTACAGTGCATGCCTTATTCTCCTTGTACCCAGCAGGCCTTAGAACCAGGTACGCATAGACGAGGTATGGCCTTCCCAGCCAGGCTTCAAGGCAAGGCAAGACAGAGGAAACAGAACCTAGGGGGCTGGAGATGTTCTAGATGCCAGATTGCTCTCTGCCACCCACAGCCTATCGCCCAGGGCCCTGTTTGAAAGCAGCCGTGGGGGTGAAGGACAGGAGTGCAGAGGTGAGAGAAAAGAACAGGATCGTCCCAAGCAGATCTTTTCTTTGGCCTTTTTGAGACTGGGTGTCAATTCCAAATGGCAGGCTGTCCTAGAACTATGCGGCCAAAGGTGGCTTTTAACTCCTAATCCTCTTGCCTCTGCCTCCCAAGTGTTACAGGTATGTTCTATCTCATCTAGTGTTTGAGGGTGTGAATACAACCTGTCTCTTCTGAAACAGGAGACAGCGATCTTGTAGGAATCTCCACAGGCAGCTGCCTCACCCGGGACTCCCCACACCAGGCCTCTGGGTCTGTCTGAGGCACTGGACACCTGTGGGTCCAGATCATAGCTGTAGAGACCTTCCACCCATGTCCCCAGGGCCCAGAATTCCACCAAACAGAGCATGGGTAGCAGGAAGGACCTGTGAGAACCCAAGTGTCCAAGAGGGCTGAGCTGGTGGGTGTAAGGGGTGGGCCTGCTGCCCTGGGCTCCTGTCACTGAGACCCTGGATTCCTCTGCGCTCCACCCTGGGGGCTGCCACTTCAGCAGACTCAGAATTTCAAGTCCTTCTGTGACTGACCAACAGACCCACAAGTAACATGTGGCCTGTATAATCCCAGCCTTGAAGGAGAAAGACTGGCCCTATGGATACCTTTCATGCCCATGGGACTTGTACACTGTGATGCTGGGACACCTGCCACCTTTCTCAGGGCAGCAACACATAAAGAAGAAGCTGGGTCAGGGGCCAGAAGCGGAACCAAGTTTATTCTCTCTCACTCATCTGGCTCAAATGCCTACTGTCCCCACCCTGGGACCATGGGCAAGTCATACACAGGCAGGCAGTGAGGCTCCACACACCTGGGCCTGGTCTCCGTTATCACCCAGACCCCTGCGAGGGGATGTGGAACTAGTCATCCCTGGGTCCCAGACCCTCTATGTTTTCATGGGGACTCCCCGTCAACTGCCCCAAGACCAGAGCAGCCTGCATCAGTTCAGAGGAGCAGGCCCAGAGCTGGGGCAAGTCTAGCTGGGCAAGAGATCCCAGGAAGTCTCCCCAAAGGCAATGGTCCCAAGGCCACTGAGTCTTAGACCTGGAAAGTTGCCACCATGCTCCAGTTCCCTCATGCTAATGTTCAGGGACTTGACCATCTCTTTAAAACTAAGGTGTAAAAGCTGGGAAGACGAAGACCTCAATTCCACAGTATGGGGTGGGGGCTTATTGCATCTGGCGGTAAGGGAGTGCAATCCTGGTGGGCAGAGCAAGCAGCATAGCACCGGGCACACAGGGGCCTCCGAGAGCGGGCTGTTCCCCATCTCAGCCAGTGTCCAAAACCTGTCTGGCACCTGGGGAGGTGTGTAAAGGTACAGGAAACCCCAACTCCTGGGATAGGGTTTCATTCCCAGCCTCTGCCCTTCAGACTGCTGTTTACTGAAGGATGCCCAGGGTTTCCCACGAAGGCCACCAGGGCCATAAGGGTTAGTGACCCCTTGAGGTGGCCAACTCCTTTTTTCGTTTTATTTTTGGAAAATATAAGCCAGCTCTGGAGAGCTGCCAGGCACTGGGGCCAGAGGTTAGGAACAGCAAGAGGGAGGGAAGGGTCCCTGAGGACATCATGGAAGCCCAGGGATTGGGGTACCACTGGAGGAAGAGCTACACTGGAGGAGATTAGAGCCCAACCCTGGGCAGTGGGGAAGGAGTGTGCGGCCAAATGGGAAACCTTCTTTTCTCAGACAGGGTCCCTCCTGCCTGTCTCCCTGGTGGACACGGGGGCTGAGGGTAAGCTTGCAGCCTGGCTCGGCAGGCTAGGAAAGGGTACCTCTACAGGGACAATGCTCATTCAGCCCCTCCTTGCCCAGAAGACAGCCAAGTCAGCCGGGCACCTTGGGCCTGCCCACACCTGTACAGAATAAAGTGCTTCGTTTATTGATGATTAAAATGTCCCCAGCCCGCTGTCCCAGCTCCATGGGCCTCTGAGGCAGTCAAGGGGTTCAGCACCCTCTGACAGCCCCTTGGGCACAGGCCCCTTCCCAGTGTGGCCATGCTGGGAGTGGCAGGGAGTAGCGGGAGGGGGTAAGGTGCAGAGTGTAACAAATAGAAGCTTATAAACAGTGGGGGATCAAAACTAGGAAACGTAGCTTATGGAACCTTCCTCCCATCAAACGCAGGAATAAGGACATTAAGTGACAACAGAGAGGGGTGACCTGTTACTGCCTGCCCCCCAAGGGCAAACACTGAGCACTGGCTGAGTTCCCTGCTCCCACAGAGGCCTAAACACACCAGCTTCTCTCCCTGGCTGTGCTGTGGCACCCCAGACTGTACAGTGCAAGAGGGACCAGGGGCCAGCAAGGGGCCATAGTGGCCTGGCCCCGAGAGAAGGGGACACCTCATGTGGGCTTCTGGGGAGCAGACATAGATACATGTGTCTCCTGGTGGGGCAGTCAGCCATGTAGGCTGGTAAGGGACAGGGGTGCCCTATGGACATCTCCCTGTCCCCTGCCCCACAGATAGCACCATGAAACCCTGAACTACTTGTCTGAGGCTCCTGTGGGGCCCCTCCCTGGATCTCATTCTCCTGTAAGAGCCCTAGAAGCTGGGGCTGGTGAATCAGGTTCTCTCCCCTCTGGAGGCTTGGTCTCCAGCACCCAGAGACATTCTCTCCTGGATTTGGGGCTCTTTAAATGTCCAGTGCAGGCTGGGGATTCCTGAACCTGCCTGGTAGGGATGTAAGAAAGGAAAGCCATGGGGGCCAGCCCCCACCTGCCCCACCCTGCCCCGGCAGAGGGCTGACATCCCCCTGCCCAGCCACACATGGTATCCAGCCATGCTCCCTGGCTCCAGGCCTCCTGGGCTCCAGAACTCCTTCAATGTGGCACACTCCAGTCCTCCTCAAACCCTCCGTCCTAAGGAGTCAGTTAGGAGCGCAGGGAAGCCAGGGATGGGCAGGTGAAACTGACCCAGGCCCTGCCTGGCTCTCGGTCACGCCTGTAGCCCAGAACTCCTCCTTCCCTGTATCTGTTGCCTCCAGCACCCCTCACCTGGAGGGGTACAGCCAACCAGTCCCTCTCTGTTCCTTTACTCCCAAAGACAAGGAGTAAAATCTCCAAGAAGCTGCACCAGGACCCAGGGCCAAGGGCATCCAGCTGCAGCCCAGCCCCTAGTCTGTGTCTGTTGGCCCTGGCCAGGAGGGCCCGTGCTGGGGGTCAGTTAGTGTCCAGCCTGGGAGGCGCTGTAGGGAAGAGCGGGGCCGTGGGCTGCAGGTGTGTGGCGGGCAGGGTGGCAGGGTCACCGGGCAGCGGGTGGCTGACGCGGAAGCACTTTTCTTTGTGTGCCTTCAGCATGTTGGAGAAGCGGAAGCGCTGGCCACACACGTCACACGGGTACGGCTTCTCTCCCGTGTGAGTGCGTCGATGCCTCTTCATATTGGGGCGGCTGGTGAAACTCTTGCCACAGATCTCACAGATGTAAGGCTTCTCCCCTGCAGTGGGGGGAGGGGCAGCAGGAGTGTTCATGGCCAGCCCTAGATCCCACCCCACCCCACCAACTCAGGGTCAAAGGGGAGGGGACAGAGGTTAACTGAGGGGGTGTGGAAGGCACGGACGGACCTGTGTGTGTCTTCATGTGCTCGTCGAAGTACTGCTTCATGTTGAAGTCCTTGCCGCACCACTGGCACATGAACTGCTTGTGCCCGATGTGAATGCTCATGTGGGAGCGCAGCTGGTACTTGTACTGGAAGCGTTCGTTGCAGTTCTGTGGGGAGGGGAAAAGCTACAGATACCTGCGTCCTGCCTTACCCAACCTGAAACTCGTGTGTGTGTGTGTGTGTGTGTGTGTGTGTGTGTGTGTGTGTGTGGTGTGTGTACCCGTGTGGAGGCCAGAGGTCTGGTGTATCCTCAGGTGCCTCCACCTTGGCTGTTTTTAAGACAGGGCCTCTCAACGGCCTGGACTCCCTGCTTAGGCTGTGCTGATTAGCCAGTGGGCTCCAGGTACCCACTTGTCTCTGCGTCCTCAGCACTGGGAGCACATCATGCACCACCATGCCTAGATTTACATTATTTTTAAAAACCTGGGCTGATGCTCAAGTTCTCACACCTGCGGGGACGCATTTTCCCGACTCTCGGCCTCCCCAAACTCATTGAACGACAGGTAGATCTTCCACGCCTGCTCCTCCTGCCTCTGTCTCCCCAGACCCGGGATTACAGGCATGTGCCGTCAAGTCAGGCTTGCAGCTCCTTCTGACCTCCCTTCCTCCCCCCCTCCCTGAACACAGGGTGAGTGGAGGTGGAGCTATCCAGGGATCCCCACTGCCAGCAGAGCTCACCTCACAGCGGAAAGGCTTCTCCCCCGAGTGCTGCAGCGAGTGGACCTTCAGTGACATACTGCGCTTGAAGGACTTCCCACAGGTCTCGCAGGTAAAGGGCATGTCCTTGGTGTGGGCTGCAGGTGAGCACCAGACGTCACTTCTCCAGGGCACCCACCTGAACCCCCACCTCCAGACCTGCCTTCTGGCAGCCCTGCACCCCACGCTTTCTTGGAGGGTGATACTGAACTCAACACCTCACCCAGCCTTGGGCCCAGTGACACTGAAGACCAATGAAGAAAACAGGGAGATAGTCCTCCCAGCTTTAAAAAAAAAAATCACCAATCTGGTTACCCAGCATGCTCCTGGATCTCAGGGTCCCCATCCCATGCAGTTTATACTTTCCAGTGGAGGAAGGGAGGCGTGTCTGCCAGGGACTGTGCCTTGACCACTCCTCCCTGGAGCTTGGAGCCCAGTTGAGTGAGAAAAGGTGACCACAGAATCCAGACACTCGGCCAGGCCCACCTAGTGCAGCCTGTGAGTGGGGTGGGTAGCACACTTGGGAGGGCCTCCTTACTGTGTCCAGGTGTGACCCCTAGGGGAGGCTGCACTCAGGAGATGCCTGAAGCCCTGTGAGGGCCAAAAGGTGAGAAAGCATGAGGGGCCTAACGGTGGCCACAGAGACAGGGCTGGACCAGCACATATGGAATTGAACAATTCAGGGAGAGCCGCTCCTGGCCTCGGGCAGACAGAACACCGCATCGGAATCCTCGGCTTGCCCAGCAGTGTGCCAGCTGGATTCCCATCTGCCAGCTTTCCCAGGCATCCTGAGGCACTGGGCAAACTGCCCATCCATGCACCGCTTGCCTACCCCTTTCCCTCACCTGGATGCAGCATCCTGACACAACCGGCAGCCAGCCCATCCTCTGCCCACACCTGCACCGGCAGGGACTCACCAACCATGTGCTTGCGGACGTGCGCCATGGTGTGAAACTTCTTCTCGCAGATCTCGCAGGAGAACTTCTTCTCTGCGTAGCCATGCACTATCTTGTTGTGCTCGTGAAGAGACCACAGCTTCTTAAAGGCTTTGCCACACGTCATGCACTACGGGAAAAGAAGAGCACTCTGGCTGCAACCCGGAGCTATCCGTGGCCTCTCAAGGCAGGCCTGTTTCTCCACCTGAAGAGTGCTGGTAAGAAGGCTGGACCTGCTGTTCCTAGACTAGGTTGACTCCTTCCACACACACATACCTACATGGCTTTGGGGTACCTCTTCCAGGTTCCCCCTTCTAAAGCCTTCCCCTGGCTTTGTTTGCTGCTCTGAGGCAGGAGGCTGTAGGCCATGTTAGTTAGGCAGCTGTGCTGGGTGGTGGACGGGCCTCTTGGTTCTGCAGGTTCTACAGATTGCAGAGGCTCTAGGGCCCCTCAGGCAGTGGAGGGGCTCCAGAGGCTGGAGGTTGGGGTCTGGGCAGTAAGGACTAAAAGTTTCACCCACTTAGGGTGGCTCAAGGTACAGGAATAACTGAGAGCCAGCCCAGGGCAGGAAGCAGGTGCACAGAGAGTGATGGGCACACCTTCCCCACTGGCATCCAATTAGCAATTAGTGCAGGCAATTAGCACCCACCTACCTGTGGCCCAGGTGTTTATTTCTTCTAGGGCCAGAAAAGGTGAAAGGCATGCTGGTGTGTGGGCACGAATGTGGATGAGGATACGTACACGCATGCTGGTGTGTGTGTGTGTGTGCACGGATACTGATGTCTATGTATGTGTACACGCATACTGGGGTGTGTGTATACACATGCTGGTGTGCGTGCACGAATGCTGATGTGTATGTGTACATGAATACCGGTGTGTGTGTGTGTGTGCCTGTGTGCACACATGCTGGTGCATGTGCAGAAATGCTGATGTGTGTATGTATATACGCATGCTGGGGTGTGTGTGTGTGTACAGAGACTGATGTCTATGTATGTGTACATGCATACTGGTGTGTGTGTGTATACACATGCTGGTGTGTGTGCACACATGCTGATTTTATGTGTACACACATGCTGGTGTGTGTGTATGCATGAATGCTGGTGTGTGTATGTGTGTGCATGAATGCTGGTGTGTATGTGTGTGTGCATGAATGCTGGTGTGTACAGAAATGCTGGTGTGTATGTGGTGGTGTGGTGTGTACACATGCTGCACGCATGCTGGTGTGTATGTGTACACACATGCACACGCTGGGGTATGCTCAGACAGTACAGACTGGCCCAAGACCTGGCAGCCAGCCTAGCCTCTGCCCACCCCCATTTCTTTCCAAATTCCTCATCCAGCCTTTTTGCTCCAGATTCAGGGTAGCTGACACTCCAGAGTTGGATGCAGAATTCTGACAGGTTATCTCCTGCTCTGCACAGTGGCTCTGAGGTGAGCAGAGGGTGACGCTCTCTCCAGAGAAGTCCCTTCACGTCTATGCATACTTGGGTGTGGCATACAACCTATATAACTGTACAGGCAGCTCTGAGGGCCTACGTTTGTTAAAAGACACATCCCTCGGCAGTTCCTACTGCTTCCTAGCTTCAGGTGACTCTCCACTCTCCCCCACAGCCTTGCTGCTCACAACTCTGTGGGCCAGAGCCCAGCTCCTCCTGACAGCCAGTCCACCTCAGCCCTGGGGACTGTCTGGGCAGCATGTCTCACCTGGATGTTGCGCTCACAGTCCGTCTGTCTGTGCAGCTGCAGCTCGCTCTCCAGCAGGAAGCGCTTGCCACACTGGCCACAGATCTGCATGCGGCTGTGGGTGACGTTCATATGCTTCTCTAGGTACCAGCGGTTGTTGAAGACCCGAGGGCACTTCTGGCATGGATGCTGCTGTTTTTCCTCCAGTTTCACTTTGGCCCCCAGCCCATCAGCTGCCTGGGATGCCGGAACAGCTCCAGAAGCCTTGGGCCTCTTCCCACCTCTACGTCCAGCCTCCTCCGGCTCAGGGGTGGCTCGGCGCCGGGTGTTCTGTCCCCGGGACCGTGTGGACATTCGGTTGTGAGGTGGAGGGTCTGCCTCGCTGCCCTGACACACAGTGGGACCCGCAGGGTCCTGCCTGCCCTCAGCCACCCTCTCCTCCTCAGAACTCTCTGCATCCTGCTCACTGGGCCCGTCTTCTTCATCCTCATCCTCCCGATCGCTGGGCCCTTCTTCCTCTTCTTCCTCCTCTCCCTGGCTACCTCCCTCTTCTTCCTCTTCTTCCTCCTCTTCCTCTCTCCCTCCACTCCCTCCTCCTTCCTCTTCCTCTTCCTCTGAGTGTCCCTGCATGCCATCCTCCTGGCCCAGCACCACAGTGGCTGGATTGGCCCCTGAGCCTGGCTTACCCTCTGGTCCGGTAGACACATGTAGTGTTTGGTTATTGAGATTCACCTCAACAATGATCTGTGACTGCTCCTGGTGTCCATAGGTGCCCGAGGCGTCCAGTTCTGGCTCCAGCCCCTCTCCACTTTCCAGTTTGCACAGGCTACCCGGGGCCTCTGCCTCTTCAGGCGCCCCTTCCTTCTCCTCCTTGAAGAGTGTCTGTGCTGGCCCAGCAGCAGCAGAGCCTACATCCCCAGCTGTGCCTCCTCCATCCTCCACACGCACAGAGTAGGGGTCAGGGCCCTCTCGGGCATAGATCTTCGGGAGTCCTGGGGTGTCTGCCTCCTGCTTGATGTCACAGTAGTAGGGTGGTGGCGGCCCCGGAGCACAGCTGGCAGCTGGCTGCGCCAGGGCCACAGGGCCCGAGGGCGCCAGGGATCGAGCGTCCAGCAGCTCCTGGCAAGAGGCCGCAATGTCAGCCATCTGCAGCAGCGAGGCCGCACTAAGCACCTCGTGCACGTTGGCTGCGTTCACCAGCAGCTTGGACGTGTAGATGAAGTTGAGGATCTGCTGCAGGCCGCTGGGCGCCAGCGCCTCCAGAGACAGCTCGACCCGCTGCAGCTGCTTGTTCTGTGTGAAGAGCGAGTGGAAGAACTGGCTGTAGGCGGCCAGCACACCCTTGTGTGCGGGGAACACGCTATGCTGAGGCACCAGCACTAGGTCCACATCGCACAGGTCTGGCTGGAAGAGGCGTTGTTCGTTGAGACGGCCCATCAAGCAGGCGAAGTGCAGGGCCACGTCCTCCACCAGCGAGAACTCTGCCGCCGGGGAGTCTGTAGTCTTCTCAACCAGCAACTGCGGGGCCAAAGAGACAGGAGAGGTGAGGGCCAGCCACTGCCCACCCCTGCCCACAGTGTGGGAGGGGCCATCACCAGAGATGATCTGATCCATCCATCAAGCCAGGGGAGGGGATCAGGGCAGACACATGGCAGGAACAGCTGCTCCTAGGGCTACAATGTCCTGGGACCTGTGCCCAGGTGGCTACTCTGTTCACACACAGGGGTCACCCCAGAATCCCTATTCACTGTGCCCCAACTGGGCTTCCAGGTATTCCTCAGTGTGTCCTGACCTTCTCACCACGCTGAGACAGGAGCCTGCCCAACTCTGAGAACCGTGAACAGCAGACCCAGCTTCTGCTATGGCAGCTAGGCTGTATCTGGGGGACTTTTTACTTGGACAGGGGCAATAAAGGCTTTCAGGGGCTACAGAAGACAGTGAGCTGAAGACGTCCAGGCCCACTGCAGCTACAGCAGCTTTTTGTACCCAGGGCCCTCAGGCGAGGATGGGCTGTCTTCTCTGTTTGCTACACTCCCAAGAGGAGACCTCAGCCCAAACCCAGAAGCTCCAGGGTAGTCCTCTCCTGGAGGACTCCATAAAGGGCCCAGAACAGAGTTCTGCTTCATTCTGCCATGGTTGGGTGGTAGAGACAGACCTGTCTTATCCCTTGCATTGGGACTGGGGCTCAGCAGACACTGGCCAGTCCGGCCCCACAAAGGATGGCTTCGGACGTGCCACAGGCTCTGCCGTCGAGACAAAAGCTTTCAGTGTGTGAGTGCTGGTGGGTCCCAAAGGGGACAAAACCCCACCTTCCTCAGAGGTCCCGGGATAAAGCTGTCCCCTGTAAGTCCTGTCTCCTGTCAGCAGTGGGTGGGCCAGACAGAGAGGACGAACTCTAAGCTCCCTTGTCATTCTGCTAACGATGAGCCCCTTGAGCCTGTTCTGCTGTGCCAGCGGCCCAAGGCATACCCACTCTTCGCCCTCTGCTTCACCGACAGCGGCTCTGCCTTCCTTGGTCTCCCTCCACCCAACAGCCACCCATCTTTGACTCTATCCCAGAACCGCTGGGCCCATCTAGCAGTAACGTGGCACGGGGCCCCGCCCATCCCTCTCTGACTCACTCCGATTCACTCTCTGGGACCAATTCCTGTTGCACAGACAGAGAAACTGAGGCTTTATCATGGAGCTGTGGCCATCCTGCTACTCGGGTACCCTTCCTTTCTGCCTGGTGCACTTCAAGCGGGCAGACGACTTAAGAGAGTTCTGAGAGTGAGGTGGGTGGAGGGGTGAGGTGTGAGAACCACCTGAGCATCCAGACATGGTCACCACACCCTCCCCCTCCGCTCCTGCCTCCTTCCCAGTCACTGCACCTGCAGGTTCCTGGTGTCTGCACTCCTGGGAGGGGGCTCAGGGGGAGGGGGTGGATGGTGGCAGGGAAAGGACTGCCATGGTACCACGTATCACAGGCCTGGGGCCCCCTTCTGCCTTTACAAAGCTCCCCACGGCCCACCTGCTTGGGAAGGGCCACTTGAGCCTGGCAGAAACCCAGGCATCCCTAAAGTCACCTCACAGCCTGTCCAGCCTTGGACCAGAAACGCTGCCAGCGAGTGGCAGGGCCCCTTCCGGATCAGTGCCCACCAGCTGTGCAGCCTCTGGCCAGATGCTCCCGCTCCTTGAAGCTGAGGAGGCCTCCCTCCACCTGGCTACGCCAGCTGCAGCAGCAGCCCTTCCCCAGAGGGACACCTGCAGAGGCCACCAAGCTTTTTTTTTTTTTTTCTCCTGAAGGCCGTCTGGTGAAACCCCGGGGGCAGGGGTACAGGCTCAAGACTTCAGGATGCTTTCTCTGGCGAGGCCTGGGAAACAGGCTCAGAGACGGCAGGGGACCGGCCCAAGGTCACACAGGAGTTTCCACTCCAGCTGTGGGCGCCCCCCGCCTATGGCGCGATCCATCCTAGTCTCCGGCAGAGCGGCTGCAGCGCCCACGTGGCCCAAGGCCCGGGCGGGAATCCGACTCCCCCTTTTCCCCCCATTACCAGCCCCCGGGGCGGCGCCGTCCGGACGCAGAGAAGCGCCCCCCTCCGCCCGTGCGCAGCCAGACCTCGGCCTTTCGCGCTTGCACCCCCACCCCAGGAATTTCAGCCCCTGGCCGCGCCACCGCGCCGCACTCCGGGCCCCCCGCACACCGGGCAGAGAGGATCGAGGACCCCGGGGGAGGGGACAGGGCTCCCAGACCCCGTACCCGGTCCCGCGGGGCCGTGCGCTCCCAAAGGAGGCGCTCGCAGGTGGGCGGATAAGCGGGGGGACAGGCAGGGCCCTGCGTACCATGGTGCCGCGGCGCTGGGAGCTCACAGGGCCCCGCAGGATCGCGCTGCCCCCGAGGGCCGGGCCCGGGCCGCTCCATGAAGCGCCGCGCTGGGGGCCGCCCCTGCGCAGGGCCCCGCG